TGAATACAAAAAGAGGAATATGAATTAACGATCAAGAGATAGAAGATCGTGGCATTGCAATATGTCCCTAACGAAATACATGTTATGACATATGCGAACTGTTTTGGATTGTTTTCATGTTTTTTAAGGTTGTTATCATTAAGCTAAAAGGAATTGTTTTTCATGTATTTATCCCGAAATCCAATAAAATCTTAGGAAAGATTTCCGACGCTTTGTTGCTTGTTTTTCATATCCTTCCGTTGAATTTAAGCTTTGCATCTTAGACTTAACTGGAAACGGTGAATGTTTTACCCAAAAACATTTCCCGAAATTCACAACGGGACATGGAAACATCGTTGGGGAGTTCCTGGAGTTTTTTTCTTGTGCCATCGTTATATTTTGCCAGCTTTCCACATGTCAACAAGGATTAATATTTACTGCTGGCAAATATCTCAAAGTAAACGACTTCTCTCACGTATATAATTTTGAATTTCATTTTCGACCTCGAGAGGCTGAATTGAGAAGTGTTTTTGTCACCTAAGCTTACGACCAATTCGTAAATCTTATAAAACAATATTCAGATTCGTTTCCACTTGTTGACGAATGCTTCAATTTTTCTTCTCCATGTAACAAAAGGTTTTGAGTGCGAAGCGCCAAAAAACACATAACAGAAAACTGAACCTGTACGTACCATTCTAATGCATCCTGAAGATTTTCTCTGTTCAGCACAGCATCATAAAACTTCTTGCGTTTGTAGCGGAAAAAATGGATAGCAAACTTGAATGCCTTAGTCGCGAGAGTTTTTAGGAACTTAAACGCTTATAACTTATTTATGTTTGTCGGCCTCGGAGTGATTTTATGCCAAAACATCCCGTTTGATGTTAGCTTGTTGTTGACCAGCCTTCCAAACTGAATTACGTTTACAATAAATGGATATATTTAGCTACTACTCACTAACGTAGGATTTTTTCTTTTATCAAAGTATCACTTTACATAACAAAACCATGATATCAGTTTGGCCGATACCTCCCGCTAGTAAACATGTAAACATTTAAAACAAACTAGACCAAAGCGGACGAGCTAGACAATGTAGAATGAGATGTTTATTCAGTTGTACGTATGACAAAAGATGAATTAAAGATGGCATTGGGTGTATAGGTAGAATTCAAAAACTTGGCAGATTTTTTCCTGGCTTGGGTTCATTTTTTCTTTTTTTGGAATCTCGTTTATTCTGAAAAGAATATTTTGGGAAATGAGCGGACTTGAAAAAGACGCCCACAAGACAGTACACATACAAATGAACAGAGACACATGCATATGATTATCACTACTTTTTCATCGCATTTGCAGAGTGAAAAAAAAAAATACTGATGATAAAATAACGAGCGCACAACATTTCAAATTCCTCATCACCCTCCAAAGCATTCATACATAGCACGCGAACATCTGCACGAAATCTTAATATCACAGTTATCTAAGTCTGATACGGCGTGAAAAGAACGCCTGGTTTATCAGCGAAATAAGCGGTTTATATTTTACAACACACTACTGGTTTCAGATGATCTGGTATGTAGAGCTGTCATATTCTTCACCCGAATTCTTGTGTTAAATAGTTGTATTCGTTTAAATTTTACTTATCCACAAAGCATCTTTGCATCAACAATTCCATTTCGCAAAAACCAACGTCTTGAAATTGTGTACATACGAATTTCACCTGCAAAAAATCCATCTTTTTGATCTTGAGCAGATTATTTTATTGTGGAATTAATGTAACGATATAGGTTTCGTTTCGGCAGGCGCTGCATGGTTGGAATAATTACGAAAGGAATCACAGCGACGGTCAATCGCAAATTTCGCGAAAGTCCCAATCGATCGCTGCATAGCGAAAGGAAATAATGTAAAAGTTACGACGGAGGTAAAGCAATTTCATTTCACTACAGCGCCTCTTAAGCAGTTTAAGTTTGAGTTGATTACTTTCTTCGTTTAGGTGAAGAGTCAACGCAATGTGTGCTTCAGTGGAATGAAAGTAGCCGATAGTTTTCCAAAGTGATACATGGCCGGTGGAAGGGTCGCAAACGGTAAAATTTAAAGGTCGCAAAAGACATGGCGAAAATTTTTTTCAAATTACTGCTATTGTAAAGCCCGATTAAATGACTATGTCGGTACGAAAACGCATTTCACTTCAAGACTGATAGAAAAGCCAAAGGAACAAGCACTGTTGTTTTTTCTCGCGACAAACATTCGTGACAGACTCGGAAAGCCTCGGATTCCCTCGGATTCGTATTGTCTGCCGTGACTCGCGGGAAGGATTCGGATTTTCATTGTCTATCGTTATAATTTAGCGCGAGCCCTTCCGAATGAGTTTTTTTAACGTCTCTCATTGATTTTAAGTCAAGGAGAAGATTAAATAATAACAAAAACAATAATAAAAGATTTCTATAACGCCAGTATTCTAATGCTCAAAGGCGCTTTACAATGATTATCAGCGAAAATCTAAAAAAATAATCTAAAAATTAAAATCATTAGTCTAACATTAAACCGACTTTGAGCTGATGGAACAAATTTTCTCTTGTGACAAATGGATTCAACTCTAGTCTTGGCGTGTATAAAGCATGAATTCGTTCCAAAAACAATAAATAAATAAAAAATAACTTAGTTGGCAACTCCCCGCGGGAGCTTTTCAGGGCCAATGTAAACAAACCCCGAAACGTATATAGTAAAACGTGAAAAACCCTCAACGGCACGAGAGAGGACAGTTAATTCTCTTGAAAGTCTCAATGAGGAAATAACAAAATACTAGTCTACTCAGGGTAATACACACCTCCGAGTGAAGGACTTGAACAGAATGTGGAAACACCTGATTTTAAGCCCCACAAATTCCTACCTCTCCATTTACACGCATACGACCGTTACATCTCGCGCCTCACTTAGTTAAAAGTAAAACACATTTTACCTGTAAATTTGCTGATGTACCTTCTTGTAAAATAGCGTCAGAAAACACCGTATAAACCGTGAAGATCTCTCTTGCAATAGTCCCTATGGCCGTGCCAGATGCAAAACAGGTTTTGTTTTCCACCGAGTTATTTAATAGTTGTTCTGTTTCATCTAACGTAATTAGCGTCTTGGACTGTGCTCTTCAAATTTGTCATATTTGTAATTGTGCCATTCATTAGCCATCGACCTGTTTGGAGTCACGAATCTTCATTTTACTCCAATCAGTGGAAAATTCACACCGAATACATCACTGCGATTGCCACGAGGCCAGTTATAAGACAGATTTTGAAACGCCTCAACTCTGTCAATTTTTTTGGGTTGTATCGACCAAAGTGATAACTCCTTAATATTTTACGACGACAGTTCGTGTTGTAAGCATAATGCAAGCAGTTTGAATCTGTCAAATATGTAGATACGTAAATATTGTCTTGCTGTAAAAAAATAGTAATTGCATCCAATTTTGATCTGCCAAAACGTATCTTTCTTCCGGTAAAAGAGAAACATTACATGGATTTAAGATACGCGGTGACTCATATCAAGGTTGAAGATGACATACAGATTGGAAAAAAAGAAATGATCTGTTTGAAGTCCAAAGCTATTCGTTTCAGTATTTTGAAAAAAAGTGAAAAAAAGGTAAAACTGAAAACTTCGTTTACACGATTGGTAAGCGCTGTTTGTCATTCGATATTGTCACCATTAGTGACGTCACAACAGGACAGCTTCAAAACGTTTGAACTCCTGTACAAATATGGTTTATCGTTATTTTTGGCACGTATTTTTTCAATTATATGATGATATTAAATGACTGCTCAAAGGGAGCAACTCTAAGCTTTCTATCGGTAAGTCCAGTACTTTAGGTTGCAATGTAACTGCGCCTTGTGTTCAAGCTACGTTCAGGTTTCTGTATGACGCTATTTTTTCAGTTTTTCACTAAGTTCCACGTCTCATTGTCAGCTCTCCATTGTTTCTTTCACGGGCTGGTTGATCACGGGGTGGGGAGGGTGCAATTTTTTATCTCGTTTCGAACGGTTTTACGGCGAAGTAAGGATGTCGTGTTGAATTACGTATCGTTTGGTGCAGAGCTGCTATGTAGTATTCTTAAGGCGACTGAAAATGTTTTAAACGGTAATAAGCCTAACCAGTTTTTCAACCGCAAAAACCCTTACCATGGTGAGCTCACGATCTCCCTTCCCCCACGCGAAAATAAATCCATCAAGGCATAAAAAGTTTTAAAGCAAAAGTGAAGGCTTACTTTAGACCGGGGATATTACGGTAATTTCCTCTCATGGATCAGAAATAACAAATGTCGGATTAAAACATGTCAAACGCGATCGTGCCGACTAACATTTCCGAAGGCGGTATCAGATTCTGTTTCACGGAAAATAACAATCATTTCAGTCACGTTTTAACCAGTTGAACGATCTTTCACTTAAAGGAGAATCTAAAAACACGGCAAACAAAGAACTCGCTTCTTATTCCACGTTCAGTCATGCAAATAACGACTCACGATTACGTTTTGTGAAGATGAAAAGAGCGGCTTCAGATTTTACGCCAAAAAATGTTCAACAATGGATCAAGAAGGTGCCCTTCATCCAATAACCAAAGATTGTTCAACCTAGCCAGGAATTTTTAAGTTCTTCGAATAACCTCGAGCGTATAGCTAGCGGCCCGATGGGATCCAAGCCATCAGTGGCATGCTTTAAACTGAAATACAGGAAACACAATTTGTGCAAGTTAACATCAAATCTCGATGACTTCCTGGAGAAAGACGGTGAACTCGTTCGCAACAACGTCAAAAGTTGTACCCTCCAGGATAATCAGTCAATAATCACAGCTGGTTAGGGGAACAAAATTCGCATGGAAACCTGTTTGGAGCTAGCGCTGTGAATAAGCACTTTGACACTAATATAATGGTAATGATAAAGCCCAGTATGACATGTTTTGTCCCTGAATTTTCATTTTGCACCGTGTAAACCACCACGAAAATTGCATTAAACATCGCCTGTGTGAAACGAGTCTTTGTAAACTATCATTTGACATTTTATTCATTTGAAAAAAGAAAAAAGATTGTTGGCCACCCCTAGCGTCCTACAGGCTTGTCTGCTTGTGAACAGTTTGGAGACAAGTCACAAAGCGATTACTCCTAGGCGTGACAAATCTAGAATCTTTTTTTCAGTCTCCATAGTTTAGCGAACCATTCGTCGATTTCTTTCTTTGTTTCTTCAGATTCAACATAGAGGGAAGGTTCCTCCGTGTACGGCAACGCCTTCATTTTCTCGTTCACCATGCTCATGGATGGCGGATAGTCTCTAAGGTAAAACAAGGCGTCTTCTTCCCTTCGCTCGTGTTTAATGACCTCGATACTCTGAATGAGTGGTGAGTAGAGCTGGAAGTTTATTTCCATGGGCTCTCCTTCTATCACGTTACGTAAAGTGAATGTCGCACCCAAGGTGTTCTGCCAACGACTCTTGTAGATACAGATTCCTACAAACCTAACAACAAGAAAACAAACCAGCTACGTAAAGTCATGTACCAAAGTACTCTGGAAATCTAATAAGAGATGAAAAACAATAAGTATATTTCACTTCTCTTAGGTCGTGTTGTATTGGGATCAACAGTTTCAACCGCAACCGGTTTGGGTTGATGAGGTTGTCGTCTCTCAATAGAACACTTTTCCAACCGTTATCGGCTGAAACGCGGTGACTCCTGGGAACAGTCTTTACGCGAGCTACAATCACGCCACATAATCACACAGATACTTTATCAACCGTTTCAGCTTGGTTTGAGGCCGGTTAAAAAAGTTGACCAACCAAACCAATCAAAAACGGTTTTTCCCCAATAGAACACGAAAATCCCAACCAGAAACGGTTGATCCCAGTAGAACACGACCTTAGCGTGCTTTTGTGTGGTTTTTTTGTTTTGCTTTTTTTTTTTGTCAGTCTTTTACAAGAGCCTTTTTGGCTTTCCTGAGTTTCTTTGCCTTATCCTTTGATATTTTTGTAAATATATTTGCAAAAAATAAAACAAACAAACAAACCTGACTTGTCCTTTAGCAACGTGTGGATCTGATCTCGTCACAGCCACTATACTGCCGACACAGAAGTCTTTCACTTTAAGTGTCTGCAGCCTACGGTAGCAGTCTCTCTGTTCTAAGAATGTCATGACATCTGTTTTGGCCTCTTCAGGAGAGTCCGGGAATCCTTTAGGCCAATTCTTCTCTTTCCAGATAAACCGGGGTTCGGGTTTCTCGCCTTCTAGGGCTGTTTTAGCGTTTGGGAGTGTCTTGTAGATTGGTTTCACTCCCAGCTCTGCAGTGCGCTTCTGGTACCACTCATTAACATTCACTTTTATCTAAAAAGGTCAGAGAAGAATTGTTTGTGTTGCCACCTCAAAATCTCGAAATTAACGACCCTTACTACTTTCAGATTTAGCATCCTTCACCTATTGCTACTTTAAGCGGGATAAATTGTACTACTTTCGGGGAGCTAAAACGTACTACCGTTAATCGGTCCTCCCATTTCAATAAAATAAAAAAATGTTCCCAATGTATACAGAGCTGAAAGGATAGAATCAATCTTGCTAGAAGGAATCTACGGTACATTACATCAGAACTGGGTAACATATTGCCTTTGGATTAAAGATGATCTACATCAAATACCAGATCATTTTGGTACAGCTTGTTGAGTCTTTTATTTCCATTTTTTTCTCATAAGGTTTCTACTTTAGGAAAAACTGTTTCAGGCATGCAGTTAGTTGAAGGCAGTACAAAAACAGTGAGAGAAAAAGTAGGGAAGAGGGGGGGAGAGCCTTTCCAGAAATGTACGCCTCCCTGCACTCCTCCCCTATGTTTTTCTCTTGCCATTTTTCACACTGCTCCTTACCTAACAGAACACCTAGAGAAGTCTACTTTAGGATGGTCATTACTTTTGTGGTGTTGCTGCTTTCAGCTTTATTTGCTACCAGTCAGCTTAAAAACAATAAAAATTACTTATTCATTTCACAAGTTTGCTCAAACCTTGTGTCCAGGTATTGTGCATGGGTATTCACAAAGGCTCACCCTTGCTTCACCATGGCAAATTCTCATACACTTACAATGTACATGTACTATTCAACTAGATGTGAAATTTTATGATACATAAAACAAGTACATGTAATACTAAATGTACATAAAACATTCTGATTAAAAAACAATTTAGGATAGTAAACCCAGACCTAGACTCAGAACCAGGGCTGTCATAAAGGGGTGTAACCTGTGACACCTGTTACAGGTTAACCCAGGACTTGTATGCTTGATGACTTCTTAACGTAATGCATGAAATTGCCATTTCTTGATACAATTCACCCACAAAGTAACACATTTGTGATGAGTGTGAACATAGTTAATAGAGGGGAATGGTTGTGAAGCCCGGTGAACATCAAAGGAACAAACAAAGATGCCAAGATTTATCTTTATGTTGAACTCCTAATTAACCGCTGCCTATGTACTGACCTGCGTAAACAAATAAATGATGTATGTATGTATGTATGTATGTACATATGGTCCACGACCGTGCACAATCTTTTGTTTTGCCTTCATACACTATGCATGAGTTATGTAATCAAAACATTCCTATTGGTTAGTTTCTCGGTTAGTAGTAAACAACTATTATGTTTTGTGCATGGTCAAGGTCAAAAAAGAGAACAAAACATGCAACAAAGAACTTTGTCGAGTTTCATAACCATTCCCCTCTATTGACCATGGTGTGAAAAGCAAAGCAACAGGTGACTCAAAACGTAATGACAGCCCTGCTCAATACAATCCTAGAATAAGATCTCAATCAGTGTGTTTACAGAACCTACCATTGCCTTCTTGCTTGTCATGCTCTCTCCCTGAACAGTTTTTTCAGTTTGTTGTACTAGTGATGGCTGCTCATCACTACCAGTTTTCTCAGCACTATCGCTGCCCTTGTCGACTTGTTTCTCTACATAAAGAGTTGAAAAAAAAATTCAATGAAAGTAGCATTACAAGGACAAAGAGTCTCGATCCTCCTCAAATTGATGGGAAAAATCCTAAGACATATAAGTATGTGTATATCTTTGGATTTGCAAAGCTTTTCAATAATACCAATCTGATGCAAATCTCCTACAACTCCCCCCCTCCCCCCAGCCCCCCTCTAATAAGCCCTCTGTTCTACTAATTCTTCTTTTTGTTTTCTTAGTCTCCACCCCTTGGAAGATAATTCCTAGGGTCTTGGCACATGGGGGTAGGGTAGGGAGGCATCCCTACGGTTTGTTAATTAAATTGGGCTAACTCTGGGCCATTCCATATCAGTAATTTTTTCCCCTCCCCCATTGATGACATTTTCTGTGGAGAAGAAGGTCATTTCTGAGAGATTTGCTTCATCTACATCAGATGATCTTTTTGATATCACTGATGGTGGTTTGAAGAGAAATTTGTTTTGTTTTATTCTTGACAGGTAAGGAAATACTGGTCTATTACTGCTGGGAGGTGGGGGGTGACATTACTTCGACACTTGGGTCTCTTTTTGTTTGGGGGTATGTTTTGACTCACCTTGTCAATGGGACAGGGCAAGGCGTATTTAAGCCTAAAATGGGATGGTTCCCTCTTTTGCACGTACATGCTTTACATGAAAATAACCTTTGAAGATAATTACAGCCCACTGCTAAGTATCTCTAGGTTAAAGCTCTTTAATGTTTTTGAATCTAACGTAATGGATCCCATACAACCCCTGAAGTTCGCCCTTGTCCGCTAAAATGTCTGCCATGGGCATGTTGATGAAAGTCCTCCTGGGCATAAAGTCAACGCCAATACTTGAGCCACATATTTTTATGAAACCTACCTTTACTAGCTTCTAACTCCTGGGATGTTTTCCGTGGAGATACGCGTTTTTGAAGGCTTCTTAATATTTTTTCATCAACGTAAGGAGAAAAGAACTTTGGTCTCACCTTCGACGCCATGTTGCTAAAAGCATAGTTAGTGTCCAGTACCCACGCATTCAAGTGTTCAACCTTTATGAAGAGTCCGCTGGTCAGGTTCGTAGTTAGTCGTTGTCGAAGGGTCTTTTTTTTTTTTACTTGAATCCCTTCCTTCATCATACGGCCAGGCCATCCGAATTATATGATTATTTATTAAAAGGTCATTTTGAGTTCCTTTCTTCATATGCTATTCTTCATAAACAAATAAATAAAATGCACCGCGTATTTTTCACTTTAGGCCAAGTTGGATAGTGGTACATTTCGTGCTGTTTACATAGATGTACTAAAGGCATGCTGGGAACTACAAGGACCTTGGCCATGTTGCTTCCTTGACACAAATTTCAAAGGAGTAGAACCTTGTTTAGATCTTTTGGATTTGGTCATTTGACCCCAGCTCGATCTTTATAAGAAGCCAATAACTTTACTGAACACCATGCCGCGAATCATTATCAAAGGTGGAGTGTGGAGAAACACTGAGGTAAGCTCACTTTCGTCTGCAAAGTCAACTGCGCAGTGTTTGGGATTATCCAGACCGGAATCATTGATCCAAGGTCACTGGCATCTTAGTACATCAAAGGAAACGATCAGTCCTGCCTCAGAGTGGAATCATCGGTTTCTTTGATGCTCTATGATCCGCGTGATCTTGGATTATTGATCCTGGTCTGGGTCTCAAAGAAATTCACCGTAAGCCTTAAGCTTAAGTTTATGTGTAGCCAGAGGTTTATAAACTTCTGATGTTACTAACCAAAAAGTTTGGTTCTCGAACTCATTCGATCATGAACCAAAACATGTGTGTACCTGTTTGTTTCTATCTTTCTAACAACATGGAGCACTGATTGACTGTTAATTTGGTTCCTACATGTAGCTTCTGTACTGTAATTCAATTATTGATAAACTTTCTATAGAGGAATGAGATTTTTAAATTGTAAATTGTGTATTTTACTTTTGTTTTGTGAAATCTTAGGATGAAATTCTCAAGGCGGCAGTTATGAAATACGGAAAGAATCAGTGGTCTAGAATTGCATCTTTGCTGCACCGCAAGTCAGCCAAACAGTGCAAGGCCAGATGGTAAGTGTTAACAAATATATAAAGAGCGAGTTCCTTTTTCTTGGATGCATGTAAGTACTTACATGTATGTTTATAAGGTACTAACATTTATGTTACATTTATCAAAATATGTTTTTTTTCTTTTCAGGTATGAGTGGTTGGATCCTAGCATTAAAAAGGTATGAATATTGTTGTTTTAGCTGTGCTACATGTATATAAAGTAACAGACACACTCAAATATTTTATTTTGCTGTTGACAGACTGAATGGAGCAGAGAAGAAGACGAAAAGCTACTTCATTTGGCAAAGCTGATGCCAACACAGTGGCGAACAATTGCTCCTCTGATTGGCCGCACAGCGTCACAGTGTCTGGAGAGATATGAATTTCTTTTGTAAGTTGTTTTATAATATAAATAGTATTACTGTATTTGTCATTTAGTGTAGGTGTACTGTCTTCACATATTTGGGCAGCACTATTATAAATAAAAGTAGAAAGTATAAATGAAAGTAAAAGTTTCAGTTAATCTTTTCCAGAGATCAAGCCCAAGCTAAAGAAGGCGAAAAAGATGAGGGCGAGGATCCACGGAAATTACGACCAGGAGAAATTGACCCTAACCCTGAAACAAAGCCAGCACGACCTGATCCCATTGACATGGATGAAGATGGTAAAGCCAATATTATCCATTCTTAAATTCATCTTTCACATTGATTACTATCAATTTAAATAACTGTTACATGCATGGTCAAGCCTTTTGTAGGAAG